GTCTTGGTGCCTGCCTCCTTGGCCGCTTTGGCCAGCTCAATGTTCAAGTCGTGCTCGAGCTTGTACTGTTTGTCGAACCCGCCCGCGGCCGCGCGCGTCGTGGCGAGGCCACAGAAGAGCACGGAGGCGGGCGGAGACAGCGACGAGACATGGGCGGCCCATTTGGAGGTGTCCTTCTCGATGAATTCGTTGACCGGGATCGATTCACCTGTCGCAGCGGGCGGAGATCGTCGAGCGATGACCTCGATGCTGGAGAATTGAGACGCTGGGTTCGTTCTCAGAGTCGACAGGATGAAAGAGCCCTGCGTTTCGTGGTGTTAACAGTGTATCTATGATGGCCATGAATGAATGGCTGGAACATACTACGAGACCCGTGCTACCGAGAATAAGTGCTTTTGCCATGTTTTCTTTTCTTCAGAATTGATGGATTAGAGAATCAAAAGGCGTTGAAAAGCTCCCTTTTCTGGGTGTTCTGATTATTTATTTCGAGGTCTGTTTGGCCGAGTCGTCAAAGGCGCACCAAAACCGGCCGGCAGCTTCCGTGATGTTGTCGTGAGGTTTGACGAATCACGAAGAGTCTCTGGACGGGCGCCCAAACCACCAACCCAGGCAACAACCAAAGTCGCGGCAATGATGCCATAAGAAGTTAGTGTATCTTGGCAATTATCACGCCGTTGTCTTGAACTCTTTCTCCCCCTTCGTGAATGGACCCTGCGTCTCTTAATTCCGGTTTTCCTGAACGTCTGTGCTTCTTGTCGACAGGTCAGGTCTGTCTCTATTTCCGCAATTTTCGACATTGTACTGGTCAACCATGAGACAATGGTGACTAGGTCGATGCTCCTTTTCAACGCGATGCAATACCCTAAAGATTCATCTATGATGTTCCCTCTGCTCGGCCTCTGGTATCGGCGATAGGCTTCGCGATGTCAGCAAGCCGGCTCAGCCTGCCAGTTGCTGACAGTCATCTATATCCACTCCTTATCACAAATATACCTCCGATGCTCTTAAAAGTGGTTTGTTTGAGACATATTTACCCATATGATGTCGAGTGAGCGTTCTGAGTACTCAGACTGCATATGCATGGCCCGAGGAAGACCAGATGTGAGTGATTGTACTAGATTCCCCGTCTAGACACGAGATTCGTGTCGGCGCTGCTGTCTGAGATGGCTTATTATGTTTGATGATCAGCTTCCCAGCAACTTCTTACACTGTCTACAAGATCTCCTTCTACAATGACCACGAAAGGCTACACCGACTTGTTCAGCCTCGTGGCCCAATTGGGAAAGACGGGCAAGCCGCTGATTGGTGGATACCCCGTTCAGCCTCGCGCCACGTGACGGTGATCCAGATCTTCTTTTTCTGCGCTAGTGGAATTGCGTGATCGACCCTCCACCAATTTTTCCCTCCGACGGCATGTTTTCTGACTGCCGATCGATAACGCCATTCAAAAAATGAATGAGGTGGATGGAACTCGGTCGGCAGTCGGCCCTCGAGGGTCTATTCATTGTAAATGCGTTCTCCAAGGTAGGTTTGCCTCTTCTCATTCCTCATCTCTGTCTTTTCTGTGAAGTTCGCAATTATGCGTCTCGAACTGCCCTCTTCCAATGGACCAGCGCCGGGGAGCGACTCCAAGACGGCCCCGCGTGCCTCAAGGAACCTCCCCTTCGGCCAGGCGCCGTCCCTGTCCTCAGTCGCCGGCCCTACCTATGTGACTGCCCAGATCCTCGTCCAGCAGGTCGCCTACGCTCTGTCCGACAAGATCTTCTCCTACTCTCCAGAGACGTTTGATCTCGACGTGGCCGCAAAGTCGTGGGCAGAGGCACAAGAGGCGAACATTAATGGCTACACCACTGGGGTGCAACAGATGCAAATTCGGAATGGAGCAGGATCAATTGCTCTTGGTTACATGTTCTCCAAGGACTTCAACCTGAAGAAGAGACACATTCCTCAAGGGCTCCTTGCTCCAACGTCAGCTCTGAAGTTCTTGCGACCTGTATTGGATCAGCTGTCCCTGCTGTACTCCGTCAGCAATCCATTCGTGGCTCATGTGGCTGCACTCGACTACGAGGGCGACAAGAATGGTGGTCTGGTCTCAGATTATGTCTCTGCTTTATCTGCGGCCGAGGATCTAGGTCTGGCTTTGGTTGCTAGCCAATCCGCATACGAGACGCAGCACATGTCGCTGCTTGCCACTCTGCTGGCTCAAGACCTACCCACGCTCCACGTGTATGATGGTCTGAGAATTGGGAGAGAAACCACCAGGGTCATTGACATCCTGGACAAGTCTGGTTTGGGCAGTGCATACAACTCCATCCTGGCCTCAATCTCGGATGAGGATCGAAAGCATTTGAACGCCGAGGGGAAAGCATTGAAGACTCTCCGAGCTCTTAACGACGAGCTTGGAACGGACTACAAACCATTTGAGTATTTTGGTCATGAAAACCCTGAGGTCGTCCTGGTTACATTCGGCTCGGTCGAGTCTTCGCTAGCTGCACAGGCAGCATCGGTCCTGGCCCAAACCGGTAGCAGGGTTGGAGCCATCAATGTTCGACTGTATCGACCGTTTGCGGAGGAACAGTTCTTGAAGCTCATTCCCAGAGGCGTGAGGACGGTCGGTGTCCTCGGTCAGGTCACCGACTCGCAGGCTGTGCAGGAGACGGGCGTTCATTCCCGGCTTTACGAGGATGTGCTTGCGGCTGTCTCCTACGGAGTGGGACTCCATGACCGTCCAGAAGTGCAAGAGCTGAAATATGCCCGGGCTGAACGATGGACACCCTCGTCCATCGCCTCGCTCTTCCAAATGCTTCTGGGTAAGGCTGCGGACAACCAAGGTATCACTACATTCTTGGACAACTCTGTGCAACGTTACACTTTCTGGAATATCGACGACGCTGCAGCTGCATCTGCAGCCAGCTACTTGGCGGAGGCGCTTGCTACTGAATCGGCTCAGAACGTCACAGTGAACACCACCCACGACAACTCTATCCAGGGAGGTATTCACCGAGTCGATATCCGAAAATCTCCCAGAAGCCTTGATGCAGCATATCCCATTACCTACGCCAACACTGCTGTGGTCACAGATGTCAAGCTGCTCGAGCACATCGACGTGGTCCAATCTGTTCAACAAGGCGGCAGCATTATTCTCCTTTTGCCTGGTGTCAAGGACGAAGATGTTGAGAAGAAACTCCCTGCGGCATTCAAGAGATTGATCGCTGAGAAGGGAATCAATCTCTACCTGATCAACCCTGCCAACACCGCTCTCCCCACCGAGAACCCCGAACTGGAATCGCTCATACTCGAGGCCGCCTTTGTCCGGGTTGCATTGCGAAACTCCGAGGAGACTGGTCTACAGAAGCTCGCAACTATCCACAGCGATCTCGAGACCCTTAAACAGGTGGCAGCTGACCTCGAGAAGACTCTGCGCCAGGTTGAGGTCCCCAAGGAGTGGGCAGAGGTGGAGGAAGAGGAGAAAGCTGCATTGCCCACCAACATCTCTCCAAACAGCCTGACATCCTTTGACAAGGCAGAGGAAGAGCCACCGTCCCTCCTCCGCAGCTGGCAAAAGGCGGCCAAAGGCCTCCTTTTCAAGGAAGCTTACAATGCTTCGAACGTCCTCCGTCCCGACCTGCCCGTCAAGACTTTCACAGTCCACGTCAAAGAGAACCGTCGCCTGACTCCCCTGACCTACGACCGCAACATCTTCCACATTGAGTTCGACCTCGGCAGCTCCGGCCTCAAGTACGACATTGGCGAAGCCCTTGGTATTCACGCCGAAAATGACCATGACCAGGTCATGGATTTCATCAAGTGGTACGGGCTCAACGCGGAGGACGTCGTGGAGGTTGCGTCGCGTGATGATCCGAGTATCTTTGAGAATCGCACGATCTACCAAGCGCTGATGCAAAATGTCGACATCTTCGGCCGTCCACCGAAGAAGTTCTACGAGGCGCTGGCAGAATTTGCCGACGACGAGAATGAGAAGAAGAACCTGTTGACATTGGCCGGACCAGAGGGCTTCAAGGAGTTCCAGAGGAGGGCCGAAGTTGACACCGTCACGTTCGCAGATGTCCTGCTCGAGTTCCCCTCTGCGCATCCGTCGTTCCACGACATCGCGCGGATCGTCTCCCCGATGAAGCGACGTGAATACTCGATCGCCTCCTGCCAGGCCGTGACTCCGACCTCGGTCGCCCTCATGGTCGTCGTGGTGAACTGGGTTGACCCCAAGGGCCGCGACCGCTTCGGCCAAGCGACCAAGTACCTGTCGAGTCTCAAGGTCGGGGCCCCCGTGACCGTCAGCGTCAAGCCGTCCGTCATGAAACTGCCGCCCAAGTCGACCCAGCCGATCATCATGGCGGGTCTGGGCACGGGACTGGCGCCGTTCCGGGCCTTTGTGCAACACCGCGCGATGGAGAAGGCGCAGGGTAAGGAAATCGGTTCCGTCCTGCTGTACATGGGCTCGCGCCACCAGCGCGAAGAGTACTGCTACGGCGAAGAGTGGGAAGCATACCAGGCCGCGGGAGTCATCACGCTGCTCGGCCGGGCTTTCAGCCGCGACCAGCCCCACAAGATCTACATCCAGGACCGCATGCGCGAGACCCTCGACGACATCGTCAAGGCCTACATCAAGGAAGACGGCGCCTTTTACCTGTGCGGCCCGACATGGCCCGTCCCCGACGTCACCAACGTGCTCGAGGAAGCCATCGCCAAGGACGCAAAGGCGAACGGAGTCGCCAAGAAGGTCGACACGAGCCGCGAGATCATGAAGTTGAAGGACGAAGGGCGATACGTGCTCGAGGTGTACTAAAAAAACAAAAAAAAAAAAAAAAGCGTGCACGCGCGCGATGTTTTTGAAAGACA